GGGAAGGAAAGGGAGATGGAGAGAGAAGGAAAGGGAGAGGGAGAGAGAAGGAAAGGGAGAGGGGGAAGGAGAGGGAGAGGGAGAGAGAGAAGGAAAGGGAGAGGGGGAGGGAAGGAGAGGGGAAAAGAGAAGGAAAGGGAGAGGGGAGGGAAGGAGAGGGAGAGGGGAGGGAAGGAGAGGGAGAGGGAGAGAGAGAAGGAAAGGGAGAGGGGGAGGAGAGGGAGAGGGGGGGGGGAGAGAGAAAAGGAGAGGGAGAGGGGAATGGAAGTAGAGGGAGAGAGAAGTAGAGGAGAGAGAGAAGGAGAGGGAGAAGGAGGGTGGGAAGGAGAAGGAGAGGGAGATAGAGAAGGAAAGGGAGAGGGGAAGGGAAGGAGAGGGAGGGAAGTAGAGGGGAAAGAGAAGGAGAGGGAGAGGGAGAGGGAGGGTGGGAAGGAGAGGGAGAGAGAGAAGGAAAGGGAGAGGGGAAGGGAAGGGGAGGGAGAGGGAGGGAGGGAGAAAGAAAAGGAGAGGGAGGTAGACAAGGAAAGGGAAGGGGAGAGGGAGAAAGAGAAGGAAAGGGAGAGGGGATGGAAGTAGAGGGAGAGGGAAGTAGAGGGAGAGAGAGTGAAAGAGAGGGAGAGGGAGGGTGAGTTGGAAGGAGAGGGAAGGGGAGAGAGAAGGAAAGGGAGAGGGGGAGGGAAGGGGAGGAAAGGAGAGAGAGAAGGAGAGGAAGAGGGGGAGTACAGGGAAAGGGAGGGAGTGAGAGAGAGAGAAGGAGAGGGAGAGGGAGGATGGGAAGGAGAGGGAGAGAGGGAAGGAGAGGGAGAGGGAGGGGAAGTAGAGGGAGAGAGAAAAGGAGAGAGAGGGAGAGTGGGAAGGAGAGGGAGAGAGAGAAGGAGAGAGAGGGAGAGAAGGGGAGGGAGAGTGGGAGGGAAGGAGATAGGCGGTATTATGAACGCTACTCTTTCCTCTTTCTCTTCAGACAGAGACTGTTTGTATACAATGACATGGTAGTGCTCACGCACCGTAACAAAAGTAATGACTGCTGTCAGACGAGTCACAAAAAGATTATTTTGAATGTCATCGTTACATGTAGTTAAGCACAGTTGAATACCGTGGCATTGTCCTACTTTTCGGATTGACGAGGTCGTCGCGCGCCGGTAAGAACATGCAACCACACGAGGGAAAATATCTCCCTTTCCCCTGTCAGGGGATGAAAGAAACATGTTATTTCACGAGACACATGGAATATCGTGTTTGTTATATACTTTTTGTGAAGTTGTCTATCGGAACATTAAATTATTTCATTACAAATGTAAAACCTTGAAACGTCATTTCTCCCTTCCTAACGCACAGGACGGTTCGCCATCCCTTGTATTTGCAGCTAAAAAAATGAAAAATACAAGCAAAGGTAAAAAAGTATTTAGGGTCCCGAGATCTCCGTTGGAAGCGAAAGAATACACGCTGGTCAAGTAACAAAAATGGCGCTTTGCGAAACGAACAGTCTCAATTAAAAGTTAAAATAGAAATTAACAGTTTATAACGAAACAATTTCGTGAGAATAACAGATGGAATGAAGCGCTATTAAATCCATAAATCATCATCTGTCATTTTGTTTCCTTGTCAATGTGGAACTAACGTAAACAGGAAGTCAACAGTTTGTGTTCGGTCAGACACTTACGATAAAGGGAGACAATTTGAGGGGAGGTAACTCTTGTGTGACAATAGTTCTCTCAAAGTGTTATTTTCACAGCAGTGAAATATTGCAAGGAAAACATCACTTTTTCAAACTTTGGAAAACTCAGTCTTTCACATTAAAGTATAATAAATAAAGTGACCGTCAATTTGTCATAATTAAAGTCACTCCGATCCGAACTCACACTGAAATTACTGTGTGACTGTGGAATGAGTGGGTGTGTGAGGATATGACTGAACTGAATCGGGCCTATTTGCACAAAGCGATCTTAGCACTAAGATGATCTTAACTTCCATACTTTGACATAGGATCACAATAGTCGTAGCGCTAAGATCGCATTGTGCAAGTGGACCCAGAACTGTATATACAGTAAACTACGGTTATAACGAACTCAAAGGGACTACTAATTTTAGTTCGTTATAACCGTAGTTCGTTATAAGTACATATACAGCATGACTACAGCAAGTAGTCGGGACCAAAATGTAAGTTCGTTATATCCGTCAGTTCGTTATAAGCGTGTTCGTTATAACCGTAGTTTACTGTATCTGCTTTTGGTTATAACAAATAAATACATATGGAATATAGTGTAATACAGTGGATTTCTAACATACCTTTTCAAAATGAAACCATAATTTTATAGCAAAATTTTGACAATTTTCTTTGTGTATCGAATTTTGAGCTATTTAAGAGATAGTTTATTTGTATAGATTTGGTTTAACACAAAACTCTTTATGAACAAAACATTTCCGATTGTTTTCAAATGCTTGACATACAAATAGGTAGAACACGTCCCATTTTAATTCTGGCAAACCATTTGTTCAGAAACTCCCCGCGCTGTGGCCAGTCTCACTACACAAAGGTATTTACAAAATCCAATATGCTGTTATATTTGTACATACCAGGGAAGCAGAAATGAAAAAAAACCTCAAAATTTAAACAGTGGCCCATGGGCGAGAATACTTTCATTTGCTGAAAACTCATGATTTTGTTGTTTTGCAAATAAAAAATGTGAGTCTACGAGTATCATGACACACGATGCAATCTAAAAATGGCTCGCATATGGGCGAGAATATAATCATTTGCTAAAAACTCATGTTTTTGTTTTGCAAATCCATGTAGGTGTGACTACAAGTATCATGACACATCAATGACATTCAACTCATTTTAAACTTAATTCAACTGATTTATAGCGATATCAAAATATTGCGTCTGTTGACGAAAACGATTAGGCCCATGGCATCAAACCCTTCTCGCCAAAACCTGGTGATTTTCGGTGATCCAGCCACATAATTTTCACCGCCCAATGGAACCGGTTTTGTGGGAAAATCGAGACAGGTTATTCTCTGGTATTAACGTTTTATCTTAGTAAAACTAAGCTTTTTAATTTACCAAATCACAAATGTGTAATTAGAAATATCATGACACATCATTGAAATTCAACCAAGTTTTAGCTGTTTATACTACGGTTATAACGAACTCAAAGGGACCACTAATTATAGTTCGTTTTAACCGTAGTTCATTATAAGTATAAATACAACATTTATACAACAAATGTCCGGGACTAAAATATAAGTTCGTTGTATCGGTCAGTTCGTTATAAGCGTGTTCGTTATAACCGTAGTTTACTGTACTGCTCACGACAAATGTGCACACATAAGTATCACGCCATCTCAACTTTGATTTTCAACTTTTTAAATTGGAATATGTAACTGGAACTTCATAGGATATGGGTGTCGTGAGTTTGTTATACGTTTTGCAAAGTGTTGCGGCAACAGATTGTGAAAATAGGTCGTTAATCATAACATACAGACGTTTATCTAGAGGCCCCATAGAGAGAAAAGCTGGTTCAAACTGATCATATGAATATGAATAGATCATATAAATATGCATAAAATGGGTACATGACAAAAACGTGACATTCATCTTCAACAGTGTTAAAATTAAAATGTTTACGTAAACGGTTTTCTAGCGGGGTTTGGGGGCGGTCATAACGGCCAAGCTCCACTTCAAGAGGAAAGGTGGGACATCGAAAATACTGCGTTTTTCCCTCGAGGAAATATGTTTCACATATTTTTAAGGAAAGGAAAGATTTTTAAAGAAGACGAGAGGTGCGCAGTTTGTTACCATTAGGCTTACCATTGCCTGGCCACAAGTAATCTTACCATTTATCAGTGTCCCTTTGTAACTATTCATCCTTTATGCTGGCAAAGCTTAACGACATGTTTGTGATATCAATGTCAGGGGGCACGGGTTGCCCAGTCGTCTAAGGCGTCGCGATTTGCTGTGCAGAGTTGGGCACGCCAGAAACCTATGATTGTGGGTTCGAATATATTATATTTCACCGAAGTAGTAAACGTCCGAGACCTGCATCACTTCGGGCTTTCCTCCCACATTAAGCTGACAAGCCGCGATATAACTGGAATACTGTTAGAAGCGGCGTTAAACCCAACTCACTCACTATCACTGTCACCACGTGCAAGTAGAGCTGTGACACGTTTTACCCAAAAATTAAAAACAGTGGTTGATCACTTGAAAAGGTTACATAAAACTTTACGTTTGGGAGACAGGGATTGTAGTCTACGCCAAAGCGAACAATTCCTTCTTGTTAATAAAAAACACGAAGACCATCCCATGCTCATTGTAGTAAAAGACATATTAAGTTTACCTGGGTGCCGTTGTACAAAGCGATCTTAGCCCTTAGGTGATCGTAACTCTCATACCTTAACATAGACTTACGACTGTCGTAGCGATAAGGTTGTTCTGTACAACGGCACCCTGCTCATCAATCACGAGGCGTGGTTGGATTATACCTATCACCCTAAGTTCGTCCCGCTCACCAACAGCGAAACGAAGACAAAGAAGAAAAGTTTATTCTCCTAAATCACAGGTAGTTTCACAGAGAATATTCAGCGCTTTATGGATCAGATGTTTGATAAATCATTTACGATTAACTAATACCGTAATATATTCATACATACATCGACCTCCTCTGATATGTGTAGCTTTTTGTATCATAATTGGCTTGTAAATACATTGTATTAGGAAAAAAAATCTTTCTTGAGTTGAATATTTACAGAAATATTGAGGTAACATGAGATTTCTTAAGTGACAAAGACTTGGGCATTCCAACAGAAAGTGATACTCGCCGCCCACAGCTGAATAACATAATGTACACGTTCGTTTAGCATGGTCAGGTTTATGCCCCCTCTCGGTTTCTACCGGTAAACTATGGCTAGATAGTCCAAAACGTGTGAACCATGCTGTTTGTTTATTTGGCAGAATAAGTAGGTATCATAGTACTGATCTTTTGATGAATTATTTACAGATGCGTTCCATTGTTGGAGAAACTGGTGAAAAAGCACACGTTTAAAAGACGGCCTTAACTGATATTATCAGGTACGTGTTGGGAAGTCCAGACGTAAGGGAACCGGTGTCACATAACCTATCTTTGATAGAGGTTAGAGGTGATACCTGAGGGAGGATAACTTATTTGACAAGCGACCAGGCTTTAGCAACATTTTAATTCATAATAAGATCATTCTAACTTTAACAATAATTGCTTTGGTGATATCTGCGAAGTTCATCGTAGACAACATAATAAGGGTTGAAGAGTTTAACATTCAGTATATAAATTTATTTACAAAATTTAATGTGCAAGCATTCTGTCAGTTTTTTTTCAAACCCCCAAACGTCCGAGCCATACAGTAACATCGGTTGTTTAAGCTGATCAAATAGCTTTAATTGGCAATGAAAAAGTACTTCTAACATTCGGACCTTTTGTCATACTGCATACATTGCTCTGGAGGCTTGGCCAAGAAGCCGCCCTATGCCTTTACAAAAACGACCATTCTTGCTGAACAGTGTACATGTACCTGGGTAGAAATACTCCATTACCACATCAATACATGTATCTTCAAATTTCCCTTGAGAAAACTACAATTTTAGATTTGGAGACATTTACCTTAAGTTTCCACATTCTACAATATTCAGAGAAAATTGTTCATGCATCTTGAAGATCGTCCGCTGATTCATCAAATATAACAGTATCGTCAACATATAACAGAATAATAAGTTTAATATTTATTAACACGTCCCATTTTAATTCTGGAAACCCAAAAGTCCAGAAACTCTACGGTCTTTGCCGACTCTCGGTTAAAGGTATTTACAAAATTAAACATGCCGTTTTCATGGGAACATACCAAGGAAGAAAAAATGAAAAAAAAATTGTTTAAAAACTCAATATTTAGACTATGTCGCCCATGGGCCTGCCCATGGGCGAAGTGTGGCCCATGGGCCTGCCCATGGGCGAAGTCTGGCCCATGGGTAGGCCCATGGGCGAGAATATGTTCCTTTACTTAAAACTCATGTTTTTGTTTCGCAAATACATTTAATGTATTCATTCAAGTATCATGACACAAAATTTAACTCATTTTAACTTAATTCAACTATTTTATAGCGATATTGAAATATTTCGCCCATGGGCGAGAAAAAGGTTTGGCCCATGGGTAGGCCCATGGGCAGGCCCATGGGCGAGAATATGTTCCTTTACTTAAAACTCATGATTTTGTTTCGCAAATACATTAAATGTATTTATTCAAGTATCATGACACAAAATTTAACTCATTTTAACTTAATTCAACGATTTTATAGCGATATTGAAATATTTCGCCCATGGGCGAGAAAAGGGTTTGGCCCATGGGCGAGAATATTTTCCTTTACTTAAAACTTATGTTTTTGTTTCGCAAATACATGCAGGTGTTCTTACTATTTTCATGGCACATAATGTAACTCAATTTTACTCAATTCAGCTATTTTACAGATTTATTGAAATATTTGGCCCATGGGCGAGAAAAGGTTTTGCCTTTGAAATCCTTGATTATTATATCATGCCAGAGTTCTGAAATTCAGTGACAATGTTGCTGAACAGTAGAATCTGATGGGCGTATTGTGCAGAACCTGTTTGACACTATGGGTTCCAGGACCACTAACACTCTGAGCTGAGAAAGTTTGGTCCCAACCGCACCCAACATCTTTAATGAACCCGGCCTTATCTCTCAAAACGTTTTGACAGTTTATCATACGAATTCATGTGCGTGTACAACATTAAATTTTAGTTAGTTTCTATTTCATTTCCCATTTTATGACCCGTTGATACATCCCACTGTGCAATTACGTGACAGGTACGCGTGCGCGTATTTTAATGGAAAGAAACTATTCGTCTTTTATTGCATAACGTTTGGCTGAATATCTTACATTCTAACGAAATCTCGAAATAATTATTTAATTACAAGCAGTGTCGAACTGACCAGTAGGAATTATGTTTCAATGCGATTGAGGAAAACGTGAGTGAATATTGTGACACTAAAGCAACTTTTAACTGCATTGTCACTTTTGGTATGAAAATGGTAATAGTTAAGAAAAACGTAGCCTTCTTATGATAATTCTCATATTCTCATTAGTACGTTGTGTCTAATTACAGTGTCGGCCTTATTTACAGGTGATTCTACAATACTTGTTGTCGGCCAAGTACAATCTGCCACACCACGCGTGAATTAACAGTTATGCAGGTGTTGCTGTGGGCAAATACCTAGCCTGTACATGTATATTTTTGTGGATACATGTATTACATATTTTCGTTGATATGTGGATATATTAAGCACCAACACACAAAAAGTTTATGAAAGATGAATTTGTGCCTTGATATATATATTCAACGCGAACGAAGCTTGTATTTTCTCCGCGATCCTGATGTGTATCATCGTTTAATTGGTCATTCATTAAAAGTATGTTGTGAGGCGATATCAAAGGAGCCGCTCAATATACACAGTGTCGTCCGTTTCGCGTGAGCTACCACCCTACCCTGTCAGTAAGAGTTATGTAATCGGTACACAAATATATTTGGTGCGATGTCAGTGTGGAAGGAGTTTGAATTACGTCCGCCAGTGGCCACAGAAAGTATAGCACCAATCAACAAGGCCAATGCCGTACTAATAACCTAGTGATTCGCGTAACAACGGCTGTCAATATGTCTGCTACATCTACCATACCATCATCCCTGTCACAACAGGCGTATTAACGGCTTATTCAAAATATTAATTGTAGAAATGTCGTTACCAGACTAACGTACGTCGTATTCAGTCCTCAACTGGATGTTACATTCCTTATATCAGTTAACAGCCCTGTTTGTGAAAATATTTACTAGAAATAAGATTTAAAGACTAATATCAATTGTAAGACCGCATTGACCATAAAACCGAATAAAATATGTCTTGGTATCATCTCTTGTGTATTTGATGATGGCAATTACCGGAAATGTTATAACGTTAGATTAAGAAGGAGAAACATTAAAGTGTTTTACAATACTTGGAAACATGAGCAATAAGATGTAGCAACATAAACATGCATGGAATAGGGAAAAAGGATGAAAACAAATTGAAAAGGATTTTAATACAAAACTATCGAACTAAATAACTTGCCTGAACAGAAGGGGTACCCAAACTTGTTTGACAGTTATTCGTGTGTTGTAGACTGTCGAATGGGACTCATGTGTGTACGTAGGGTACGCATATCTATTGCAAGTTTTAGTACTCATACACTTTCTCTTTTTGTGTTTTGTTTGTTTGTTAGTTGTATAACGCCACACTTAGCAATATTTCAGCTGTATGACGGCGGTCTGTAAATAATCGAGTCTGGACCAGACAATCCAGTGATTGACATCATGTGCATCGATCCACGCAATTGGGATACGATGACATGCATCAACCAAGTCAGCGAGCCTGACCACCCGATCCCGGTAGTCGCTTCTTACGACAAGCGCTGTCGCCCTTTTACGCCAAGAATGGTTTGTTGAAGATCTTCACGGGTCTATTGAATGCAGGGATTTGTGTAAAGTCATTCAGACAGCATACAATGCCAACTAAAAAATTATACTCAGTGTCTCCGCAAAGTTACTTACTTACTTATATTAGGAGATTTTACGTGCGCTTTCCGACTGGAGCGTATTTCGCACACGGGCCCGGCCGGGCCATTTAGTGGTATAAAAGTGGTAGCGAGAGGAGTGCAACCAAGGAGGGGGGTTTAGTGGTTGCTTATATAAAGTTTTGAAATTTTGAGATTTGGAATACATGCCTTGGGGGAGTGGTTGGGACTAAGGGAGTGTGTGGGGGTGAGTTGATGTTTTTTGGATGTTTAGTGTTGGTGGTTTAGTGAAGTTTTAAATACGGTTAATTAGTTCTGTTTTGGTTAGGTAAATGCCTAGGGCTTTGAAGTTTTCTATTTTATTTTGGGGGTTAAGGATTGCTTCTAAGGTAAGAGCGTTATTTGGATTTAGGTTGGTTTGTAATGTTGTACGTTGTGTGCGGTAGTGGGTGCAATGTAGTAGTACGTGGTCTATTGTTTCTGGGTGAGTGCAGTGTGGGCACTTCCCGTTTGCGTGTTTTTTTAGTTTTAGAAGGTGGTTATTTAGTTTGGTGTGTCCTGTTTGGAGTTTGGTGATTATTCTATCGATTTTTTTGGAGGGATGGAGGATTTTTGGTTTGGTGAGGGGTTTTTTGAGGGTTTTTAGGATTTGGGTTTTTGTGTTTTGATAGAGGTTATGCCATTTTTGGGTGATTTTACGTTTGTTTATACTTTTGATTTCTGCTTTAGATATTGGTAGCTTAAGGCTTATGTCTGGTATTTTTAGGGATTGTTTTGCGGCTCTGTCTGCGTTTTCATTCCCGTAAATTCCTACGTGAGCTGGTATCCAGATAAGTTGTATGTTTTTGCCTGCCTCTGTTAGTTTGTTTACGCTTTTGAGAATTTGGTTTATTAATTTGGGGCGGTTTTTGGTGTTTTTGTTTTGGAGGGCCTGAAGTCCGCTTAGTGAGTCTGAGAGTATTAAGATTTTTTTTTGGTTTTTGGTGTGATGGCTGTGGAGCGCCGTGGCGATACCCATGAGCTCTGCGGTGAATATAGATTGGTTGTTTGGGAGTCGGAAGGATTGAGTATTTTTGACTGGTTGGGCTATATGGACTCCGAAACCTGTGTGATTTGTGATCGGATCAGCGGATCCGTCTGTGTATATGTGACACCAATTTGGCCATTTTTGATGGATGTAAGCTAGTGATGTGCTTTTAGCTAGGTTTGGGTCGGTTTGTTTGTTTATTGTGTTGGCTAGGGATGTGTCTATTTTGGGGATTTTAAGTTTTGGGGTGAATACGTTTGATTGTTTGCAGTTTTGTTGTTGGTTTCCTATTTGGTGTTCGTTATGGTAGTTTATTATTCGTTGGGATATTGGGGTGAGTAGAGGGTGTTTTCTAGTTAGTGCCTGGTTTTGGGGACGTATGTTTTGGTTTAGCATGTTTTGGAGAAGGGGGTTGGATTGAGATGCTGCCCAGAAGTTTAGTGTTAAGTGT